TCCAAGTCAAAGCTTTTGTGGAAAGCAGTATCTACAAGTCAAATAGGGCATAGACAGGCATTCACTATGGATTTGTAGGCTGCTCAGCAAGTGGCGCTCACTGTCTCCCCTAAAATCTCGTTAGACAGTTGTTTCTCTGTCACACTTTGATGCAGTGAATACAAATCTTTCTTCTTTACTTCCAGATAAACTTTTAAAAAAGGCCAAATTCCAGAACATCAATAATCAATTTTCTCACTATCTGAAAGATAACCTTCAAGAAAGTGTAAAATCTCTTTTACAATTTCAGAGACAGACACACCCTTTCACTTCTAAAGGACAATGATGATTATGTTTTGGAAATATTCTCAGGACACATGTCTCCCTTTATTTTTGGCATGCAAAACCAGACTGAGCAGATGATACATCTTGAATGTGTAAGATTAAAACAAAGGACAGATAATTAAATATGAAGATATGTTTGCAGGATGGTGTAATTTCTCTCCTTCATTCACATCCCAACAATTTTAAACAATATAACTAGTGGTTTTACTAGGAAATAATTGCAGCATTCTCACAGTCCCATGCTGTGGGGTACCCCCGCCCAGGGAGGCAAAGATTTCGTTTCAGATAAGCAGTGTTAAAGTGAGAGGCGTGGTTTTAAAGCACAGGAAAAATAAATTCCACCCTCTGCCTCTGGGGATGTGCCCTGTGAGCCCAGGAAGAGTTGCCCCAACCCTGGACCCTCATGGGGTGGCAGCCCAGGGTGTTCTGATTGGTTCTGTGCCCCTGGAGCTTCTCCCTTCCTATGTCCCTATTAAGACCCCAACCTTAAACTCCACTGTGGGTCAGTCTCATAAAACCCCTACCCTGCCTCTATTCTGGGCTCTCTGTCTCTGGATTTAAGCCGAGTTTGCTCTTGTGTAGAATAAATCATTTCCTGAGATCAACCAAGCAGAAACACATCTCGTTGAGTCCCATCTCGGTCACCAGAATCCATAACCTCCCTGGCCTTGATCCTGCAACTGCGGAATGCAGCACCATGCAGGCAAATAGCTGTAGTCTAGTTTTCTTACACCCATGGAGAATTCTGTTTTGTTTTGACATCTTACTACTTTCCCTCAAACAAGTGGCTCCAAACTTCAAATTTTGCCTCAGCCATTCAACTTTTATTCCTTTGGGCTGCTTTTTTCTTTTACCATTATGCATTCATATTGACCAGCTGGAACCAAGAAAAAGCACAGTTAATTATTCCTAAATTTCCCAAAGAAAACATTTTTACTTTTTCCTGTTTGAAATTACTTTCTGGTTTGAGGAAAAAGAGAAAAAAAGTGCCTCCCATAAAACCTTGCATACATCTCAAAAATTTAATGGGACATTTTAGCTTAAACAATAGCGTAATTTTTGAGAAGGTGGATTAAGGCTTTCTTCCTTTTATTTCTAAAGTTGTATAAGAAGTCTAAACAAAGCCACTGTTACATCTTGGTGTGGAACTGATTTCTTTTTTTATGAGATGAGATCCAGAAAAGAAGAGGATCTCTATCCCTCAAATAACCAAAGAACTTATCAGCCCTGTGAAAACCTACTTGCTGGATTAGCCTATGAGTCCCAGATAAGCAAGAACGGAAGAGCCACCCAGAAAAAGCAAGAGCAAAAAGGGCAACACTTGCCACACAGTCACAAACTAACAACTGGTTTAGGGCAGTTCAGGGTACATGGAGCAAGGTAGAGATCAGGGAATTCTAAGTACGAGTCTGACAAAGTGGAGAACAGTCAGACATGAGGTAATATTAGTAGGACAGAGTCCTGATAAGGTAAATGAGCCAGGATCCACCATGAGTTTTGCTGGATATAGATGGGTCAGGATCTGCCTATGGTTTTAACACCCAGTTCCAGAAAAAAATCCCATCAAAATTACCTTCAGGCCACCTTTGGAAAAATCCCTGACTCAAAAATCCAAACCAGTATCTGCTTTGTGTAAAAATGCCCCAACCAGTGCTCCTGTGAAGAGAAACAAGGTATAAAATGAGATGTAGGACTTAATGGTTCAGGGTACATGGGTTGTTCAGCAACAGTATGTTGAGGGCTACAACTGCAGTGACAGTACCAGTATTGAATCTCCACAGGAAAGCAAAGGACCAACACATCTGATAGGAAGAGTCTCAATACCCACAGTGCAAAGATCCTTTAGAGAACTCCTACTTCTGTTGGATACTAGTTCTGCTACCTAGGCTGCTTATTTAGCACTATGCCTGTCTAACCACTCACACACATATTGAGCAGAAAGGCTTCCTCTCTTGACAAGAGCAGGCAGTGATGCTCAGCATGCCCAGGACACAAGCCCAGAACACTGACACATTAACAAGATAGTCATGGACCGCTGACCTCCACAGAGCATTTGCAAGGCTCCAGCTGACTGAAAAAAATTGTGCTTCTCTCTAAAATACACTCAAAGACTGAAGCAATGAGTTAATAAAAGTATGCTACTTATTACAACAGAAGTACCTCAGGCACAAATGGGTTTTAGTTAGCATCCGTTCATATGCCCAGAACTAAGCCATACCTAAATTTAACAGCAATACACAGAAAATAAGACAAGGCTTAAGTACGTCAGATGATCTCTAAATCAGCTTTTGGTTCTCAAATATGCCCTTGTAAGAGTAACTTGACAGAAGCATACGGTCTGTACTGCTAACTATTAGATGCAATAGGTAGATTTTTTTTCTCCTTAAACATAATTTGTTAAATCATTGTGATTATTTAACACAAACATACACTTTTACAAATCTCTGTCAAACCCCAAAACTACAATGAAAGTAGAAAGTATAAACTGACAGAAAGATACATTCACTTTACATTCAGATATGTATTTCAAACTGAAGAGTGCAATATTCTTATTTTTCATCTGTGACTATCAGCATGTAATAAGTCATAGAATCAGATAATCTGCATCAGTCTGTTTAACTTCACAATATCAACATTTTTACCACTTTTGCAAAAACAGTAAGTTCCATCAAGCACATCTCACAATAATAAGCTTTCTAATTTTCCACAGGAAAATGCTTTTCAGGGAAGAAGGAGAGAAAGCAGGAAGAAATACATTACAGTTAGAAACTTATTTCAACCTTTCTCACCAAAATAAATCCTTTCAGTGTAGGCAAGTGGGTTCCACAAGTAGTAAAGGACCTTTTGATGTCTACACAAAAGCAAGAAGCCCCTCATCCTGGGTGGATCAATAAATGTGAATTGCACATAATATATAACAAAGTATGGCTCTGCCTTAAGTTTCTTCTTTGTCACAGAAATGACTTAATATCTGGACTTGTTTATGGAAGAATGTCTAGTTCTATCCAAACATTTAGCTTTTCCTATGTTAAAAAAAAAAAAAAAGGAACTGAGTGAGATTACATATATGAAACCTTGGCTACCCATTCATATTGTGGAATTGCAGAGAGATATTAACATGAATTTCTTGACTTATGAAATGGAGGAGATGGAATTAACTCTTTCACTCAGGTAGTTCATCCTCACAGCTGTTTGATATGTCTTTGAGTTCAACAGATTTAACAAAAGCAAAAGAAAGGAAGAATAAAGCATTAGGCAGCATGACCAAGAATCCTCTGCCTCTCAGTTACAAACTGACAAATCTGTAGCTACAATTACAGTCTGAGTTCCATGTCATTATTGCAGTATTTCTCTCTATGAGCCTTCCCAAAAAGAAAAGGTTTTAGACCACCTATGTCTAACAAAATAGGCAAGCAGAATGAATATAAAAATACGAACCTTTGAGCTGTCACCATACATCCTGAACCAAAACCAGGAGGCAGATGAACATTTATTTTTGTTTTGCAATTAATTTTAAATAATATGTGATGTGCTCTGACCTGGTAAAGCTCCTACTTCTCCTTATTGGTTGATCTCCAAACTCTCTATAAGCTGAAGGAATGACAAAATTTGCTGTATTTCTACATGCATTGCAGTGTGAGTCACAGATAAACCATGGTCAGAATGAAGTATTCCTTGTAGGTGGTGTGGAAACATCTAATTTAGTGAAGAGCTGTTATGCTAAAATGATCAACCAACAATTCTATTAGTGTATTATACACTATCAGTGTATATCAGACTTCTTGACATGTTCTGGTGTCACATAACTTCTGTGAAGGCATCACCTGCTTAGGGAAGTCATTATTAATTACAACTAAGGATACCCTGCTAACCCAGGAGGCAATAGGGCATTGATGTAACCACTATTCAAACTGGTTATTAACTCATTACAAAGCTCATTCCCAAGCCTGGCAACTGCTGCACCAGAGTTTAGCATGGAATACATGTGAGACAGTGATGCCAAGGCTCTGAAGCAAACATGGCTTTAGCCTCTTGCTGAAAGACAAAATACTTGGCGTTGCTAAAGACTGCTTGAAAGTCCCTGAAAAAACCATCTCATCTCATCATCATGGTCCAAGTGCCACTAGGAGCATTCTGTTATTCTTACTTTTTCTGGTCAAAACCAAAGGCACTTGACACCCAAAATGTTCTTCCTTTGCTCCCAGAGCCAAAATGCCAAAAATGCTGTTTAAAGCTGGCTTGATCTCTACCCCAAGAAGAAGGGACCAACTGCTCCATCTTTTTGTTACAATGCTAACTACACTGTGGGAAACAAAGCCATGCAGTGGTTTGGGATCTACAACCCACCAAGTATTGCACTATGAAAAAAAAGGAAACAAACCCTCCAAGGAAGAGTGACTTCTGACCCAAAATTTGCCAGAGTCGCCCTAAGCACTCATCAGAAGAGGCACAGGGAAAGGGCAGTGAATTAACAGCAGGTCTAAAGTATAATGCAACATAATTTAAGTTGTTTCTTAAAATAATCAGGCTTCAGTACCACAAGAAAAATCCAAGAAGCGCCTGCAACGATATTCCAGACTTTCCCGGAGAAAGAGGAGGCAAATGGAGGAGACTGGACAAAGAGGTACTAAGCTTTGTATTGGCCTCTTGTTGTTGCCCACACATTGTGCACTCACACTTACCTGACCAAGGGCAGGGAGTGTTGGATATGCCAAGGGCTGATTTATCATTCCTTTCTGCTTCATTATGAGCATGCGTTTCTGCTCCTCACTCAGGTGTGCCATCTGAGCTGGCATCTGTGTCTGCTGGGACTGCTGCTGCTGGATGTATGGCATCATGGGGTTCTTCCCGGGATTTGCCATTGGTGGGGTCATCCTCTGACTCAGATCAGTACTGAAATGGGTCAGTGGTTTGGTGTTGCCATAAGAAAGCATATTGGGCTGTTTACTCAATGAGTTTGTACCCAAATTATTTGGCTGCTGACTGATCAGGTTCATGTGATTTTGAGGGAGGTAGTTATTAATTGTGGTCTTCTGGGAATTGTTTGCCATAGGAGGCACTATTGGGTTTTGGTTGTTAAAGGCTTGAGAATACATCATTGGACTATTTGGTTTGTCTGCACCAAAGGGTCCTCCATAGGGACTAGATGGAGGCCCCACCGGTGACCAACATGAGGGCTGATTTGGATGTTGCTGCTGCTTCTGCTGCAAGAGCTTGGCTCTTTGCTGCTGCTGGGCTGCCATCTGCTTGAGCTGCTCAGCTGGGGACAGGTCAGCACTTGGCAGGCTCACTGGCCCAGGCCCCGATCCTGCCATGGCTGATGCTGGGTTCATCCGGAAGGCGTTTCCAGAGCGCGCCTGCATCTGTCCAGGAGTGTGGGCCTGGCTGGGAGTCTGAGGGGACTGGACAACACAGTTTGATGGTGATTCAGCAGGGACTGGGGCTGGTGGTGCGCTGGATGCAGAAGCAATGCTGGAGCCTATGGAAGTGTTGGAAAATGGAGGACCAGAAGAAGATGGTCTGACCTGGGGAGACCCTAATGGGACATGAGCAAATGGAGAATGGGATGGATCACTTTTTACGCTTGCACTCTCCTGAGTCTCTGTGGCAGGCCTGGGAAATTCAGGCTCTTTCTTCTCTTCAAAGTCTTCATTGAACAAATCCTGTATATCATCTTCTGGGACAGTGTTTGCCAGCTCATCTATGAGCTCCTGCCACTCCTGATCATTTAGGTTAATGTCTGAGAAGAGCTTGTTCTGATTTGAAAGAGATGTTTCAGAAGTGTCTATGCAGTTGGAGTCATCTGAAGGCTCTTGCTTTAGTTCCTTGTTCTGCAGGATGTTAAAACTATCATCCAGCTCATTGCAGCCATTAACAGGGGGCTTTATCTCAGAAAGCCCACCATTTTCACTCAAGTCTTCTAGACCACTCCTGTGAGTTCCACTGTTCTGCAGGGGCAGGGCAGCTTTTGTGTCAAGCTGGTGAAGAGGAGAGACAGCAGGCAAAGGCAAATTAATGGGCAAGCTGTTGATTGCCTCAATACCTGGCACATCCTTTCGTGTCCGCTTGCTGGTTGGAGAAAAGTTCCCATCACAAACTCTGTTCTGTTGTTCTCCATTGAGAGGTGAACGTGTGCCTTCCAGCTTCCTTTTGACTGTCTCTTGAAGCTTAAAGAAAACAAGAGGAATGAAAAAAATTAGCCATTTGCAGATGTAAAAGAAGTTCTCATGGGCACTGTGACAAGGTACTCCTCATCAAACCAGTGACAATAAATTTTAAAACTGATTAGGAAGTTTGTCTGATTTCATTCTTATGCCTTGATCAATTTGAAAACACAGTCTAAAAACCAGCAAACAACCAAACACCTCCCCCTCTCCCAAACAAAACCTTCCCTTAACTAGGAAAGCAGGACTGTACAATATGTCTCTGCTTTCCAAGATGAGTCTGTGCTACCTTCTAAGAAATTTAGGGAGCAAGTTGTCTAATTCAGCATTTTAGTGTCTAATACAGGGATGAGATTTGAACAGTGTGCCTAACACAGTGAGGATTCTTAAACTGGAAAAAAAAAAAAAAAAGAAAAAGGAATCACTAAAATTTACTACTCACTCTGAATTTTTCTTTTTGTTGGAAGTTTCTAGAAGCTTCTTAAAAAATAACTGCAATATTGAGATTGACTACTTATATTGAAATGTGTTGCTGACAAAAAAAAATTAACATAGTTTCTTTTGATTAGCCATGTGTTTTTGGTTAACATATTGAGAATCACTTCTAAGGAAGAAAAAAAAATATATCCACCCTAGAAAATAGAAGGCACTTTGCATAATGTTAATCAAATAATGAAAAAAAGGAAATCAGCTATGTGCTAGAAGCTAACATAAAACATAAATAGCTAACAGAAATAATAGCATGACAGATCTATAGAAAAGCAAATAAATTGGAATATAAGAATTTTATAAAAATTCTGTATTAACATCAGCTTTAAGTCAGGTTATAGAAGCACAGCAAAGAACTTTAGCAAGCAACAGTGCTCCCCACTCACACCCAAGCTGAGTCCGTTACTTATGTACAAGGCTAAAAAAAGCATCTCTCTTTAGCTAAGGCAGAAAACAATAGTGGGGAGGGGAGGAAGCAAAGAGGTCACAGGTCTAACAAATGCCTTCAGGACACACTTGCATCCTTGATACTAGAACAATAGAAGACAAAATACTGAAAGATTTTATCAGTTTTTAAAGTATTCTTGCTGGGAAGAAAGTCCCATATATGCAACTCCCACCCCTTCCCTAACCTAGAGGTCCTCAACCTTCTTTCTTCTCACAATCCTATTTATTTCTCCCATCCCAGAGGGCTGGTTCCCCTTTCATTCCATGTGTAAGACAGACAAGCAAACCCATATCTTGCCCAGGTTTTGGAGGGAGTGGTTCTTGGAAGGCTGTGCTCTTCGCCTACCCTTCAGGCCAGTCTGGCCTCTTTCAGGACACAATGCAGAGGAACGTAGCCATTGCAGGCATTGCTGCAGCCACAACTGAGCATGCATGGGACACCAAGCTACAGGTGAGGCTTCTCTTCAGCAGAGAGCCAAGCAGAAAGACAAGGCTAGGAGTCTAAGCAGACCACCAATTCCTTGATTTGCACTGGAGCAGAACAGCTTTTTAATGTGGGAAAATAACTAATACGTGAATATGAGTCCCCAGTGGGTCACTGTTGGATAAATAACCAAGACTTTGCTGCCTGTTCTGCCTTGCACAAAGCCAGTGTGTGCCAGGCAGAAATTCCTCCACCTCATGCCTTCTGTGGTGCCACATAGACCAGCTGCTCTGTAACCACAGCCTCTGCCACATGGCTGGTCTCCTCCTCTGGTGTCTGGTCTTAAAACCCTGGAGAGTTGTGGATGTTCATCTAGGAGATGAGAAAGTTCTGAGCTGACCTTTATAGCACCTTCCAGTACCCAAAGGGCCTACAAGAGAGCTGGAGAGGGACTTTCTACACATGATAGGACAAGGGGTAATGGCTTCAAACTGACAGATAGTAAGTTTAGATTAGATATTAGGAAGAAATTCTTCCTTGTGAGGATGGTGAGGTGCTAGCACAGATTGCCCAGAGAAGCTGTGGATGTCCCATCCCTGGAAGTGTTCAAGGCCAGGCTGGATGAGACTCTGAGCAACCTGGTCTAGTGGATGGTGTCCCTGCCCATGGCAAGAGGGTTGGAATTAGATGATTTTAAGGTACCTTCCAACCTGGAGCATTCTGTGAATTTATGCTTATGCAGCTCTGTAGCAGCTATCCATACCCTGAGTCTCTCCTGTCCCCAGTTTCTGGAGATGAGGGAACAGCATGGCCACTGGTTTGCACCAAGAAGTTCTTCTCCCTGTGTTGCAGGTTGTGATGGGGAACTAGCCTGCAGCAAGAAGGCTGTGAAGGCCCATGTTTTGGGCTCCCCCTATCAAGTCCCTGTCACTGTGCTCCCACTCCTCTCCCAAATGCAGCAGCTCTTGTCCCCATGAGCTCCACAGATGCAGGTGGGAAAGCACACTGTGCCACTCTCTCTAGGTTAAAGACTGGCATAGTCAGATTTAGCAACCACAAATCCTGCAACAGTCTGCAGGAACCCACCAAGCTGCAGAGCACAGAGCCCTGCAGGAGAGCATCACCTTCTCATCTCTCTGTGCCACAGCAGCAGAACTCTGCTAGCAAGAGGCACTTGCCCAGAAGTTGTAATTGATTCAATTACTGTGCCAGTGGAAAGGAAGTCCAGGAGTATCATGAAGGATCAAAATCAGATCTCACAAGAGGGCTTATGGTATGGCTCTCACCTCTGCTGCCTCCCTCCCCTAAAAACCCATGTTAAACTGAACACTGGTGTGTGGCATTACAGCTCCCTGCTGCTTTTTGAGTCATGTATTTGCTGTGCTGTAGAATACTACAGCTGAGTTGGTTCCACTCATTTTTATATGACCCTGGATCAGACCCTGGAGAGAGGAAAGGATGGTACAGATGTAATGTAATGGCACCACCTCACAAGTACAACACCACAGCCCCAGGGCAAGAAAAGAAAGAGCACACACTGGCCTTAAGTGCAGGTGGCCAGTTGATATAATGGGTTAAAATAGCATATTTAAATATTGCCCCTAATGTACCACTCACAAAATTTACAGCTGAAATCACCCATTTCAACTCCTAAGCCATCTCACTACAAAGTCACTATTGCCACATCAGAAAAAAAAACAGCAAGTGACTCAAGACCAAGCTCAATGGGCATGCACAGGCTAAACCAGGATTTGAAGAAATGTTTGAAACCTATTGGGGCCTTTAACCCAAATTTTATTTTATTTATTCTATTTATTCTATTGACCAAATTTATTCTATTGACCAAATGCTGGGCTAAAGTAACAACAGGACTTGGTGACAGGCTTCTCATCGAGAAGTAAAGTTCCTATAAGGAAAAGATGGGAAAAAATTTTGTCTTAACAACAAGGGATGGAGTAACGAGAGTGTTTATATCCTGAGGAATACAAGTCAACTGACTCAATATGTTTTTCAAGTTTGAATGAATACTTTACAAAAATATTGGTAACAGTGATACACATTTACATGGTTTCACACTTTCAAGTTTTAAAACACTTACTATTTTATCCTGAATCTATCATCTTTTTTATATATGAATGTTTACCAAAAGAATCAAAACTATCTAGTGGCAAATAAACAGCTCTAAAAATATCGGTTCCTAAAGTTTTATCATGTGCTGGAACATGGATGTCCCCCTGTACAAATATACAGTGACTTTAGTGAAATTAAAAGCAGTCCCAGTATATAAATATTCATAATTATGTTCATTATGCATTACAACAAAAAGCAGCTTGACATGGAAACTATTTTCTATCAAATATAAAACATACAGAAGTTGTGCCTTGCTGCAAAAAGAAATTAAATTAAACCTATTCTAAGTTTGTATCTCCACACTGTTCTCCTTCAGAGACTTTAGGATTTGGGGCATTAACAGGCACTAATATTTTTATTTTCTATGTCTGCTCATTGAAAAACTGTAGGTAGACAGAAACTTAACATGAAAAGTTTGTTTGAAGGCAACATGATGGGTACAACCTTTGCATGTGGGGAAGCTCCTTGCATTTGGAAGCTCAAGCATTTTGGTGGAGTTGTGAGCCATAACAATAGATGCATCTCCTTTTTCTGAGGTACGGCACAGAAATATTTTTATCAAATGATTTCATTATTTCACTCCCAACCACCATATTAACTCCCAACCACCATATTAACTCCTGAATTGCTTGGATATCCTATGCTGAGCATATACTGGCAAACATTTTACCACCACCAGGATTCCACAGTGTCTTAGACTAAAACCCCAGCACTTCCCCTTCCCTTCTCTCCATAAACACAATCCTTGAATTAAAATAGTATCTTTTAAAGTACTCTCCCTCTCCTTCTTAGTACAAGTACACAGTTTGTGCATGTTTTACAGCACACATTGTGAAGATATTAGCAAGAGTTGAGAGATTTATGTCTAGAAGCAGAAGACTGTTGACACCTAAAATAAAAATAAAATAAATAAAAATAAAAAAATAAAAAGAAAAAGAAAAATAAAAAGAAAAAGAAAAAGAAAAATATCAAACTCAAAGGAAAATGTAGAAATAAAACAACCTCCTTCCAGCTTCATAAGCCTTTAGCTTTATTCACACTACATATTTGGTTGACGAATCTTCATTTCACTGCAGTTTTCTACTCCAAAGTACAAGATGGTGAAGCAGGACTCTTGACTCTTTATATGCCTTTGTAAAAAATCCAGTTGCAGAGTGAGAAAAGGTCAAATTTTGGCAAGCTGACTTTTTAAATTACTTTCAATTGGAGGAGAAACAGGGGTACAGAGGTTGTGCGCGCAAACACACACTGACCAATAATCAGTCTAATCCAACCCATCCTGAAATCCTCGGCAGAGCTGCTTGGACATGCTGTGACAGACCCAATAGATAAACAAAAATGTGTGGGGGCTGTCAGCAGGGCTTTCTTCTGTGAGGAGAAGCTGCTCTGCTTCATCTCACCAGCAGAAATCCATTTTTCAAAAGAAATGAGACAGAGGTACTGTTGTTATAGCAACAGCCGAGCCACTTGGCAGCCCATCCTCCACTGTGGAGCTGCCTTTGGTGGGCGGCTG